ACTTCCTGATAATATCCTACCTCATTTTTTATTTTTTCTTATTACCATTTATATGCTTCATTTAGCTCACTCCATTTTAATTAAAGTTCTTGGTGTTCACTACCATAAATAGTATTAAGTGGCTTTCTGTTGCTGAACCATACTGAAGTCCTCTTTTTTTTTTTTTTCCCCTTCTCTAACAATTAATTCTAGGAATTTTGAGAACAATAGCACATCCTTTACAGAGGATGAGCTGTATGGAAAAAAGTTCCAAATATTATTGATTCCCCAGCTGTGACATTGTTTCCTTTCCTTACCTTTTCTCTGCTTTTGAATGGTTTGAGTTCTTTGGATTTTTAAAATATTTTTAGTCTTCCTTCAGGGGAGGAGTAACTTTTTCCCCCTCATTAGTCTGTGCCTTCTCTAGAGATCTGTTAATGTGAGGTCTCCCCAGGGGCAGCTGCTCCCTTGGGTGTGTTCCCTTGGGTTTTTTCCTTTCAACCATGGAGAGATTTCTTGATTTCTGGTGTGATTTCTCACTGCCAGACAATATTGTCATACTGTAAGTCATCTGCTCTGAAAGCTGCCCAAGGTAAGACTATGGGGATGCTGAATAGGAAGATTATTCCATTTTAACCCTGCTGTTTGGCCACACAATGGATTGTGGAGTTTTCCAGAGCAAGTGCCAAAACCAAATGAGTTTTTAGTCCTACCTGTGTTCTGACAGTGCAGGAAGCACAACTGGAAGAGGGCGGGAATATTGTCCCCCCCCTCCAGGAGGTTGGTTAATACTCCACTGCTTTGGCAGTGTGAAACCCTCCAGAAATCTCTCCAAAATCCTGTTTCAAAAGTAGCTGCACTTGAATTGCTGGACCCCAACAGCAAAGGGGTGAACTTTGTGTGAGTTCATACAAAGGCTTAATTTAGGATTCCTGGAATTTCCCATCCCTCCCTCCGTTTCCTTTAAAGGAGTTTTATTGAACAATGGGGGAATTTTTCTAGAGGAGACTTATTGAGAAGGGGGCTACTGAGCCTGAGTCATCTTTCCAGCTGACAGATGTGCCCATTGCAGTAAGACACCACTCATGGCTTAAACATGGCTCACTCCCACTGTGGAAATGCAGGAGCAGGGCTGTGGTTTGGCATCTGAGACCTGCAACTCAGTGTAACATTTCAGAATCATGACATTCACTTTGTACCTGGGATTGTTTGGGCAGCTGATCAGCAGCACCTTCCCTGGGGGCACTGAAGCTGCCCTTGTTTGCTCTGAAAGACTTGTACGACTGGACACTTTAACAGAATAAAAGTTGTAAGTTTTAATTTGCATTTTCCTCCTCTGTCTGCTTTCTTTGGTGTTTCCTGTGTGTAAAGTCACTTGGCCTTCCGTCCTCTTGCTTTTCAGAAGACAGAGGTTAAAAATTCCAGCTATTGTGTAGGATTATTGGTTTGTTTTATTGAGCCCTTGTGGATTATGACAATCCTTTGTGAATTAAGCAGAGGTACAGAGAAAGAGAGGCCTGGGCTGCATTATGGATTTCACCATCGCTTCAACAAGTGCCTGAAACAGTTTCTGTTCCTGAATTTAAGGCTGCTGGAGGATTGTCTGCACAAGCCTATGGAAACTCAGGTGGGTTTTCAAACTGCATATTTGGCTCTCCTTCCCTAGCAGAGGGATAGGGAGTGAAGGCAATGGAGAAAACTGCCTGTTGCCACAGGAATTGTCTTCAGACAACTGCTGCTAACAAGTTATTTCAGTGTCTGCCCACCCCACACACTCCTTAGCTGGAAATGCTGGCAAATGGTGTCTTTTCCCAGTTTGTGATGATTTACAGAGAACCAGCCTGTGACTTGCAAAGCCCATGTGAGTTTCTGTGCAGCTCTTCTGTTGTGTACAAAGGTGTTTCTCTTGTGTTTTGCCTTTCCCTCACTTCCTTTGTCCGTGACTCCTTGACCACAGTGACCTTGGCCCCACTTCAGTGACAGAAAACGTGAGCAGGCTCTGAAACAGGTGAAAGGTGGGAGTTTGAGATGCTGCTTATTGCTGAGTTCTAATGAAATGTGTGGCAGGACTGAACCAAAAAAGGAGAGGACAAGACCCCCCTTGTCCTTTAAGGCTCACCTGGACCTCAGCTCCTCTTGGCAAGGATTCAGCTGCTCTGTCAGGAGCTGAGAAAAAGAAAGAATAAAAGGTGCCATCAAAAAAACCTGTTTCTTGGATTCCTGCAGGACTTCGATACAGGAACGGGGAAAGAACTGATCTATCCTTGTTGGAAAAAGACTTCTAATCATGATAATTCCAAATTTTCTGTGTAGCTCACTAAAAAGCATAAAGGTTCAATAGAGGCAGCTGGAACTATATTGGTTTTATTCCAGTAAAATCCTCCAGCCCTGCTGCACCGTCAGCTTTTTACCTTGCTGATTCTTGGGTTTACCTGTTAATAAGAATTCTCTTGATGGAAAATTACTGCATTTCTGAGGCTTCTGTTAACTTGAGAGCAGATTGCCAGTACAGGGAAAACAACTATTTGAGTATCTATGACACTTTAACTACTGGTTAAATTTAGATATTCATTATGGTTGTTGTGCTTCCTTTGCTGTTTCTCATTAAATATTCTGTCACTTGTTGCTGATCCTATCAAAGACTCTGGGAGAGGTGAGGAGATCCAGTGGAAATTTTTCCTCCTTGATAACCCTGGCAGCAGCAGTTTTGGTGGGAGTGCTGAGTTGGCTCTGGAGAACTGGCTTGGCTCCAAATGGTCTCAATAGGCTCTTTTATTGAGGGGGAAATTAGGATAATTGTGCCAGTCCAAAAGGCATTTGAAACACTTGAGCTGTACCTTTCCTACAGACATGGGATGAGCTCTGCCAGCCTCCAGTGGAGTTTGCCAGAAGTTTCTTGCAGAGCTGGCAGGAGAAAATGTGAATAGTCTGCAAAAAAAAAGCTCTTGGAGGGGAGAAAGGGAAGGAAAAGGGGCCATTTCCCAGTTTTGTCTGAGTACTTTCAACCTTCCTATTTAAACTTACCAGGAGAGAAGGATTTATAGAGGTAGCATCCTTCTCCTTGACTTTTTATGGGCATTATGTGGCTGGAGTGGTTTTCCTCTTGCTGAAAAGGTGTTTCTGAGACTCAAAATAGGGGCATGGCTGGAGTGGCAAAGAACTGGAGGACTCCTAAGGACAGAGACTGGAAGCTCCTGGAACAGGGATGGGCTGCCTCTCCTGCCTGCCGTGATCTGCTGTTTATATTGCTCCAAACAATCCATGGAACAGGAAAACTGTGGTTTGCCCTCATGGCATGACCCAAACCAGCCTCTGAGGTCACTGTGTGTGCGTAAGGTGGGGAGTGGAGACGGTGACGTGATAAATTGCTGGAAAAAACCCTGTCTGGGAATGTGAGGTACATGACACGATGATGACGGAGGTGACACAAAGAGGGACTGAGGAGTGGCACGGGAGTGTTTTCCTGGAGTGTTTCTCCAGGATTGCTGCCTCCCAGGGAGGGGTGAGGTGGGTCACAGGATCAACTTCCAGGCAACAGCTACAGCAGGTTTTTTTTCCCCCACTGGTTACACATCTTCTGCTCCATCGCTTGGTGAGAGGCTGTTAAGAGGAAGGAGGAACTACTTGAATATTTTTTTTAACTTTTCAACACGGGAGGCTGATTGATTCCCCCGGTAGCCCAGTGAATAAAGTATCTGGCAAAATTTAGCTTTTTAAACTACTCAATTCATATCTTCTTGTGAGCAGGGAAAAGCTTGAAAACAAGTTGTAAATGCTCAAAAAAAGATGTTTTCCAGTGAAAACACTGAATTCCCCCTTTATTAAAAAAAAAGGAAAAATACTTTAAGATGTGCAGGGATTTTTATTTACAGTCGATTCCCGTACAGAATAGAAAACTTAATTTTTTCAGACAACCCCTCTCTAAGGCGGATTTCCAGTCGCTGGGATGTAAACACCTTCCTGGGAGCATTTTGCATTCCTTCCTTTTGCTGGGTTTTCCTTCGGCTGCGTGAGTGATGCAAGAACCCGCCCCCGTGGTGGGTTTTTTTTTTGGGAAGTGCTGCTGAAAGGGTGTTTTCGGGGTTTCCCGTAAGAACCAAACACGCTTTTCTCTACAGGGAAAAGCCTTCCCGAGGGATTCCTGCGGGATGGGAGGGATGTGTTGGCTGGGAGCGCCACCGCTGGGCTGGAGGCTGTTCCTCCCTCTGCCGCCTTTTAGCCCCACTTAGTGCGTTTTCTCTCTGGTTTGAACTTTGCCTGGGTTTGGGTTTACTTAGCTGTAAATAATACATGCACTTGGGGAGCTGCAGGAGAGTGAACCGAGCAAGGGAAGGTGGAAATCGCCAAAGAGCAGCTGGGCATAAACCCAGAAATATTCTCTATGGGTTGTACCAAACCCTCAGGGAAAGCTCTTTAGTTTTAACACCTATTTGTCACTTCCTGGGTTGTTGGAGCCCCTTGAGGTGAGTGAAGCACCTGCAGGACTCACTGACTGAGCAAAAAGGACTCTATAGGAGCCTGAACCACCACTTTAAATTTGTTTTAAGACATCCATATGTTTTCATTGAATCCTATTTTACCCCCGTGTTTACCAGCTTAACTGCTCTACTTTTTAAATCTGAGTTAGTAATGGAAAATGATTCCTCCTTGGGGATAAAAAATTAATCAAGTTTGCAAGTCCACTCGAGCAGTTTTTGTGCACTTTGTTACCACCAAGAGCCAAAGCCAAACCGTGCAGCCCCGAATGCCTCTGCCAGGAACAAAGAGCCACCAGGAATGGGGACAGAATTCCTGGAGCAGCAGCTCCGGTGGCTGCGCAAGAGTCTGGGTGTCCAGCGCTGGCTTTTATCACATGCTGGGGCAAGGATCACGTGGAGAGGCGGAGAGTCAGCCCTGCAGAGCCCGCGTGGCATCGTGGAGGTGCTGGGATCTGGGGAGCTTCTGTCCCGATGGCCTCTGTAAGCCAGGATCAGATCCAGAAGGTAAGGAGCTGCTCTCCGGGGAGGGAGCACGTCCCCAGTGCAGTGACACTGCTTGTATTAGTCACTGCTAGTTAACCTGGCCCTGAAATCTGCTTTACAAACACTTTATATTCCCCCCAGCTTCTTGTATTACGTTAATTTTGAGTGTGTGAGTGTCGTGCTGACAAACTCTTCCAGAGGGCAACGTGTCCCGCAGAGCTCTTGGAGGAATTTCCCCCCTGTCCCTCTGTCTGTGCTGCTCAACTCTCAGCCCTGAACTCGAAATCTGCCTGGCCAAGGATAATCTCCAGGGTATTCTATATAAAGAAACTGTAGCGCCAACAGAGTTCACTTCATTTCGTAAGGGATTGTGTAGTCAGCCGTGACAAATCATCCAGGGATTTTTTCCCGAGAGAAAACAGCGCCTTCCAGCTTGTAAAGGAATCTCATTCTGATTTGGCACACAGGAATGACTGCTCTGTTTGTGTTAGCAGGCTTGGTAATTTAATCTTAGATAAATTATCCTTAAACCACAAAGGGTGAGATCTCTGCTTTGAGGACTGAGGGGTTGAGATAGTTCTTAACTGTCTGGAGCCTCAGCCTGGTAATGAGTCTCTTACAACAGAAATAAAAGATAAAGAGCATGTTGTCCCCCTCCTGAAATACAACATTAAGAACAGGCTGTCCAGCTGCAGGGCTGAGGGCTGGATGCTTCTCACCCTGCAAAGAGAACTGTTTTCTCCTGCTTTGTGCTGCTTTCCCCTGGGGGCTCTGGAGGGGAGCAGCCACCCCGTCTCTCCCAGTTCCACAGGGATGGCTTCCTTGTCCTGGAGGGGTTCTTCAGCACAGAGGAGTGTGACAGCATGAGGAGCCAGATCCAGGGAATCATCGAGAGGATGGAAGTGCCCCCGCACTGCCGCACAGAGTTCTCCACCAGGGAGGAGGAGCAGCTCCAGGCACAGGTACTGGGAAGGGCAGGGCTGGAGCACTGGAAGGAGGAAGGGAGAAGGCAAATTGCTGCTCAGGGTTCGCTCTGGGGAAACGTGACTCTTTCTTTTAACTGAACACCATGAGAGAACTTTGCTCTCCAGCTTTCTGCAAGTGTTTGGTGGGGTTTTATCAGAGGGGGAAGGGGAGGATTTGTGACTTTCAGCCCCTGGTAGCCACAAGCAGCTCTCACAGATCACTGTGAGAAATCTCACAGATTTTCTGTTCTGCAGACAGAAAATGGTTATTTTCCAGGCAGACAGCAAAAGAAAAGCAAGGGCAGCCTCTGTGTGAGAGGTTCTTGTAAAGCTCTAATCAGCAGTGCTGTAAAAGCCTTTTTGAGTGATTTTTCACTGTGTTTTGTTTATGCTGCATCTTGTTGGGAAAAAAGATGCAGGTGAGTGTTAATGCTTTGATTGAGGGTTAATTTATGTTTTTGTAAGGATGCTCTCTTTACTGGGCTCTTATCCCTGGCAGGGTAGCTCGGATTATTTCCTAACCAGTGGAGACAAGATTAGATTCTTCTTTGAGAAAGGTGTTTTGGACAAGAAAGGTAAGTCCTGGCCTGAGTTTGCCACAGGGAGGAGATGAGAAAAGGCTGAGTAAGGGGTCAGGGGCCAGTTTCCAGATCAAGGGATGATTCCTGCTTTGCAAACAATGTTAAATTCTGGTGGTTTTTTTTCATAGGGAACTTTCTAATTCCAAAGGAGAAGTCCATCAGCAAGATTGGCCATGGTAAGTTAAAGGATGGGGTTTGGAAGGGGGTGGACAAAAGGGCTGTGTTTTTCAGCCATGAGGGTTTCTCCAGACCTACTCCCTGTAAATAACTATCTCTGCAATCCTCTCCATGCTGCCCCTCACTCTCTGCTCTTAAAGGACTTAATCTTCTGTTTCAGTCCTTTTCAAAGAGCCCTTCTGGAGGTTTTTCAGCGATGCATAGCTCAGAGTCACTGACATGGGAAAGGCTGGACTTCAGCCCTTGGCTTTTTATGTAAGAGATTTGCTCTGACAAATTTACCACCCGAGAAGGGTCACATTTGGTACAGATCAAACTGTGCCTTCTGTGTCCAGTCTGATGCTGGGTTGTCAATGCCAAAGCTGTTCTTCCCTCCTCTGGTGTCACCAGCACCTTTTCTTTACCCTTACTGGTCTCAGTTTGACCTATTTCCTCTCTCCCAGCTACTGGACTTGCTTTTGATCCTTTTTGTTTTCAAACAATACATGGAAAATGAGAGCGGGATTCACTGAGTCTGCAAACACATGAACTTTGTTCAGATTAAACTTCACTGAACTTGGAAATACAGTACTGAGAGTTCTTGTTCTTGGGTTTTCTCGGAAAAACACTCTCCCCTTCCCAGGCCTGCTGCCATTCTGTTACACTTCAGCTTTTCCCCAGGGGAAGTGAAAACAACTGTGGATTCCTGCTGACTCTGCAACTTAGCATTTCAAAAGGCTTCTCTAGACTTAATTTTCTGTAATTACTCCTTTTGGTCCAGTCCATCCTCATCCCTTGCTCAGGAGCAGCTCCTGCTGGACATGTGGCAACGAGCTGGAGGCACAGCAATGATCACAACGAGCTGGAGGCACAACTCCAAGTCTTGGCTTCATGGGTTTGTCAGAGCTGGGTTGTAGCAATGTCTGCACAAACAGCTCTGACCTGCAGGCTGTGGCTCTCTGAAGGGCATAAAAAATAAGCTGTAACTTGTTTTTGCAGTACTTCCTTTTTTTGGTAGGTCTTAAGAACTGTGTTTTTAAGGGGTGTGTTCACCCGTGTGCCTCAGGGTCACATATAGTGGTTGTCACTTGCATAATATAATCACACAACACTTTTTTTTTTTCCACTCTGTTATACACTTTTTTTATTTATCTGCAGTTTGTGGCTAGGAAGTGATTATATTTATGATCTCTAATGATGATTGTGTGATTGTACAACCTACGAGTGTCCTATCACCTTAGGTGTGATAATCTATGTATATCCATCTTGGGAGGGATGAAAGTTTCTGGCTGCAATTTATCCTGCTTGGCTGTGGCCTCTGCAGCTCATCCTGAGAGCTGCCAAGTTCCCTTCTGTTCAGGAAATCTTCAATCTGAACCTTTTTTTTTCCCCTCAGCTCTACATGCTTATGATCCTGTCTTCAAGCAAATCACCCACTCCTCCAAGGTGCAGGTGAGCTGTTACTGCTTCTTAGACTGCTCTGAGGGGAAAAATAAATAAATAAATTATGAAGTAGTTAATCTTAATTTTCTAGACTCCCAATGATATTCATTTTGTCAGTGGAAAGAAATTTAAATATCTTCCCAGAATAATGTTATATAGTGTGCAGAAAACAGCAAACATAAATCTTGGAAAGTTTTCTTGCAGGAATTGGGAAGAAAACTAGGCCTTGAGAGACCAGTAGTTGTGCAAAGCATGTATATCTTCAAGGTACAGTGATTCAAGTTGTCACTCAAGAAAGACCCTGTTAGGTGGGAAGCTCTGAATCTCTTCACACATCACCTTTCTTTCCTTGCAGCAACCTGGCATTGGTGGTGAAGGTGAGACTTTTATTACCTCTATATCACTCTACAGGGAATGCTCCTTTAGGAAAGGAATATTACCAGGAAAAAGGCTCAGAATCAGACCTAAGCCTGTGAGTTTGGTGGTCCAAACCTTCTTAAAATTATTTTTAAAAATCCACGTTTTTCAGAAGCGTTTCTACATTGTGTGCAGCTAGAACAAAGAGCTGCTTTTACATTTGCAGCAGCCTGAGAGGTGGTGTTTTACTGTAAGATTTAATTTAGATGGGTGGGCAGGGGAGGACACTGAGCCAGGGAGGTGCAAGCCTGAAGTCCTTCTCGTGGAACTGAATTTCTCAGGGATTAAAAGACATGCACAACCATCTCTCCTTGCAGTGACACCTCACCAGGATGCCACCTTCCTGCACACGGAGCCTCTGGGCAGGATCCTGGGCTTCTGGATTGCCCTGGAAGATGCCACACAGGAGAATGGCTGCCTGTGGTTCATCCCTGGCTCTCACACCAGTAAGAGTTGTGTGTGTGACCACTACTGGGTTACCAATTCTGTTTTCACCACCTCTAGAGCACATTAAGCAGCTTTGAATTACTGCTCACCCAAACATTCCCTCAGTGAACAGTGCTTTTCAGATTTTAAGGCACTCATCCCTCAAATCCTGGAGTCAGCTGCACTTGAATTGTGATTTATGCTCTTATAGAAAGGATAAATGGACCAAAGGTTGGCTTTGCAGAAGCCTGGGACTGTTTGTGTCCAAAAAGGTCTGTTGCAATGCACAGAAGGGGCCAGAAAGTCAAACAAAAGGCAGTTGTTTATCTGTTTCTTCCACAGCTGGAAAATCCTAAATCTTTGCTTAATGAAAAAGACCCCACCCAAGTTACTAAGGAAAAATTGAATATGGCAATAATAAAGTTTGATAAATCATGGATATTGTTCCTCTGCTGTGCAGAACGTAGTTACATGTTTAATTTTTGCGTGTTTGTGGATTTGCAGATGGAATTACCCGGAGGATGGTTCGTGCACCTTCAGGTGCCTCAACATGTGTGGAGTTTGTAGGGTCAGAGCCAGCCTATGATGACAGTCAGTTCATCCCTCTGCCCATAAAGAAAGGTACAAACAGCCCCAAATGCGTCACTTTACAGCCCAAGAAACCACAAGGGAGCTAAAATTGTATTTAACCCTTCCATTGGAAAGCTGGAGCTTTCCGCCATTCGGAAAAAAACAGCAGTACAGGGGTTTCTTTCCCACAGGTGGACTCATCCTCATCCATGGGGAAGTTGTCCATAAGAGTGAACTGAACAGCTCGGAGTCCTCTCGCCACGCGTTCACCTTCCACGTGATGGAGGCCAAGGGCACCAGCTGGAGCAAGGAGAACTGGTAAGGTCGTGATCCTCACAGGCAGCTGAGGAAGCTGGAGCCAGGATGAACTGTCACTGGTGGTCTTGTCTGTCACAGGTTGCTGGTAGTGCCCTACTCAGCACTGATTTTGTACCTGCAGAACTGGAACAGCCTCTGAAGTTTTGTTTTTCTCCCTTCTTTCCTTCCTTCCTTCCCAGGCTGCAGCCAACTCCTGAACTGCCTTTTCCATCGCTCTACACTTGAAGGCAGTGACAGGCTTCTGGAGTCAATAGCTGATCAATATTCCCGATTGTTCCTTCACGTTCCCCTCAAACACGACCTTCCCTTATGGCAGCTCTCCAGGTTATTTCATCCTCGGAACAAGGACCTTTGTCACAGCCCAACACACCTGCAGGAGACAGAACCTCCTGCTGCAGCAGGAGCAGTAGTGAGAGAGGAGCCACCCAGTCCTTTCAGTAAGGAAACCTCTTCAGTCTTGAGAACAGACCAGTAAAGACCACTGCACCTTGACTGGGACCAGTTAAGAAGTATTTCTTCTTGCAGATTCAGTTTAAGAGCTTAAGTGCATTTCTTGGCTGTGTTGATCCCAGCAGTGCAGGTGAACATGTTATGGGAAGAAGGCTGACTTTCACCCTTAGGTCTCTGCCCTGTTGTTGGAGTAACAGTGATTTAAAACAGCCCTGTTGTGGGCAAAATGAAGCAGGAACTCTGCTTTTTATAATCAATCTTCTAAGTATTCCCAGCAAACTGTGGTTGAGTGCTTGATCTCTGGGTGTGTTGATTAAAAATATGACAGTTCTTAAAGATTTATGTTGAAATGGTGGGAGCAAAGAACCTCAATCCAACTCCTTGCACTTAATAAAAGAATAGAAATTCTCCTTTTCATCTCCATCCTCTTTTCTTTGAGGAAGACACAGTGTGACCTCCCAGCAGATGGGGCCAGCACCAGGTTGTCTGATGAGCAGTTTGAACTCTCAATATGTACAAGAACAATTTCTACCCCCAAAACCTCACAGCAAGGAATGTTTGGAAACAAAAGTTACATCCAAGGCAAGCTCAAGCCTGTGTCCTGAACTGCACAGAAGCTGTGTAGGTGTGATTTCAGCAGCACTGATGCAGTGTCAACCCTGAGATATGAGCCTGGTGTCACCAAGGCATGAGTTACATCAGAGTAACTCTCAGACTGTCAGAGCTGTGGCAGAGTGAGCCCAGTTCTTACTGACTCATCCCTTGCAAATGGATATTGCTTATCCCTGGTATTTTTTTGAGGTGAATTTAGTTTCTTTAAGGGAAAAAGTTTCCTTTCAGCCCTTTGAGCAATGCAGAGTAGGTCGAATCTAGCAAAGAATTCCTCACAGAGGAACAGCTCAGGTGGCTGGGGCAGGAACTGGGGAGCTGGGTAGTCACAACAGCAGCAACAGTGAATGCAAAGTTTCTGCATTCAGAAACTGCCTTTTCTACAGTTTGTTTGAAAGCTGTGAGCAGGGTGGAAAGAAGTGACTTCCCTTACCTGTGGTGCTATTTTATTCCATCAATGGTGAAGGCTTTGGCTTGTGACAGAAGCAGCTCAAGCTTTGTCTGTGTCTTTCTATGAGAGGAGTTAATAATTTAGAATTCTGCTGAGGAGGGATAGTTTGTCCTCTGATTATGTGCACCACTACCTGCAATGTGCAAAACCACCTCGTTCAAGTGCATAAATAAAAGCAAAAATCTGGATTTATTGGCAGGATTTCCTGCTAAAAAGTGAAGGAAACTCAGCCCAGCACAGTTACTGAGTTCGGTTTCCTACAGAGAATATCTGACAATGTATTTCCTTATTAACTGGCTCTGGCCAACTTTGGCCTCCTCAGGAAAAGCAGCACCAAGTCCCAGGAGCCCTGCCCAGGCAGGGGGTGAATTGGGCAATGCTGCCTCTCAGCTATTCCAGTCCTGGCTTGTTGCAGGGACACAAACACAAATATTGGATTCTGGAGCCAACTCTGCTGACCCAGAGACTGGTTTCACCCACCCCTGGGTCTTACTCTCAGTCCCAAGACACAGTCTCAGCAGGACAGTGTTGTGGGAGGCACCTTGGACCCTCCCCAAACTCTTCCCAAAAGTGAATTAAAAAGGGGTCAGAAGTTCACTTCAGGATGCAAACAGGAATCCTGGAATGCCAGTCTCCTGCTTGGACACATCTCAGGGGAAGGGAAGAGGCAGGGAGGACACGTGTGCTTTGTTCTAGTGGACACCTGGCAAACCAGTGAGAAGAGACTGTCAGTACAGAAGTGTTTAATACATAAAAATGAGGTGGGTTTTTTTGGCCACAAAATAGTAGTTGTAATTTTAATTAAGTGGGCAGAATTAAATGGCTTTACTCAATTTGTTGATAGAAGGATTTTTATAAATTATTTAATTAAACATTTGGCTGAAAAAAAGTGAAAAGCAGAAAAGTGCAGGAGTAGTAGAAAATTTTATTGACTTGAACATATTTTCTGCTTTCAGAATTAATGTGTAATTAGTTTTGGCTGTGACTTTGCTTAATTTCCCCCCCATATTCATTCCAAGTGGATTTAGAGATTAAAATCTTGGGAAAGGCAAAACATTCTTCTCATTGAATAAAACTTCAGGACTAAAAATGTACTGTTGTTATTAGTAGGACTTGGAATGAGTAGTGTCTGGCATTCCCAAACCTTCCCCACCCACCATGGACGTGGCAGCTCCTGAGTTTGGAGTTGTGTTTGTGGCTCTTGCTGATGGACTGGACACATCTGGACTCTTGTACCTGCTCTGAGTGCCCACCCTTGTTATCAAACATGCTTTACATGGTGCTCATGCAGAAATGAGGGTTCACACGTTCACTAATACAAGATGCAGGACTCAGTACAGAAAACAAGGTACAATACAGAGGTGGCAACATCTGAGAGATCTGCTTATTTATTTTTTCTCCTTTAATTGACTTACCTCTTCTCCCTCTGCTTCCTTTGCCTCTGGGCCCCCAGAAGAAACTTGGATAGTTGGATTATTAAACAAAGGCTGTTTTTATCAGTCATATTTGTTGCTGTGAGAACTTAACTCAGGCTGTTTTCAACAGGGTGGAAAACAAGACCAAATCAAAACCTTTATTTTAAATAAGTCTCATTTCTGATTTTAACAATTTTCTCTGCTGTACTAAAAGTAGTGTTTAGGTCAGCTTTGAGCTTCCATTACAGTGCATTTTCTAGTACCACTTTTCTCTAGGAAGGGAGAAACCTCTGTTCCTGGAAGTGCTTCTATGCCATGAACATGATCTGGAGGTAGAGAGGCAGCAGCAGGTTATCAATTTGGGTGGTATAAGCTTCCAACAGAGAAACCAAACTCACAGAAGCCAGAATCCAGGCGTAGCTGGAGTTCAGATTCACACTGCTGTCAAAGATCAGAATCAGGGCCACAGCAATGATCTGAGCAAAAATAGCTGTCATTGTCCCTTCAAAGGTCTTCTTTGTTCCTGGCCATTTGATCTCCCCCATTGTACTGCCAAAAACAGAGGCAATAGTGTCTCCTACCCCCACTGCCAACACTCCGGAGTAGGGCACCAGTGCTCCTGCCCCAGACAAGGTGCCTTTGGGAGCACAAGATCTGGGGAACAACCACACTGGGAGGGACATGCCCAGGAGGAGATAAATATGAGTCAAGATTAGAGGGCCACTGTCCCTTTCGTCCAAGAAGAGGGACAGCAAATGCCTGAGGGTTTGGCCGAAGGGTTTGATCCTGAAGTACCGGACGTATTCCAAGAAGATAAACACTGCCAGACACAGCACTGCAGCAACATAGAGGAGCTGACGGTCATAAATGAGTCCAGGGACATAAGTGGCTACAACAATGAAGTGGAAATATTTCCTGGTGATAGTGGAGGCCTGGTGTTTTTTGGATTCGGACGATCTCTTTGCGTTCTGGTAGAAAACCACCCCACAGGCTGAGGCAGCCAAGAGGGTCCAGTACACAAGAAGGTAAAGTCTTGTCTCTGTCTGAAACAGAAACTGCAGCAGCCAGAGCAGAGGGTTCCTCTGGATGAGTCTGTACAGCCAAGGCATGATGACCCCTAAGCCCAACACTGCTGTCATCATGTGGAAGAACATGGAGGAGATCCACGTGCCTGAATCCATGAAAATGAAAAGCACAGTGAAAAAAAGACCAAGGAGAACAACTCCAACAACTGCCACCAGAAGGAAGAAGTCAATGGGATCCCCTTTGCCCTCGACCACATTCAGTGAGCGTTTAATGAGCTGATTGAGGACAAAACTCACACCTCCAAGAACCAGCAGCGCTTCCCCGGGAGTGAAACACCGAGGCAGCAAGTACAGCAGGATCATACTGAGGTAGACAAAGATGAGCAGCACTTCCAGGACCTCTATGACTTCTGAGACAGCCAGGGAGTGTTTCATGGTGTAGATGATGACGCTGCCGGCCATGCCAGTCAGGATGCAGGTGTTGGTTGGCACGGGTTTGGTGATGCCAACCGCCAGCACCGACAGGAAGAGCGCGAGCAGCATCCCCGTGGAGGCCACGACGACCCCGAAGCGCTCAAAGTACACGATGCCGGCGGCCCGGCAGCGCTCCTTCATGACGATCCCCAGCAGGGGGATGACCATGCTGGCGGGCAGGAGGCCGCTGTTGGCCGCCCCCCGGAACTGGAACACGGCTCCCCCTCCTTGGAGCAGCCGGTCCCACTTGAACTGGACGTAGAAGGCCTGGAGGGCCAAGGCCAGGGCGCACCAGGAGAACCGGTCCCACACCACCCCGTGCACCGAGAGCACGATGGCAAACACCACCAGGGACTCCACCAGCACCGGCTTGTTCAGCATGATTCCAGCTTTCAGAGTCTCTCTCAGGAGTCCTGATGTGCTCAGTTGTCCATTAGGAAGAATTCCCTTCCATGCTACTGCAATTCCTGTTAAAAAGAAAAGAAAGAGCAAACAGCTACAGCAGCTTCTCTTTTAGAGCAGCTCCTAGGAAAGGCTAAAGCTTTTGCACATCCTCTTCCCCTGTCAGTACCTTAATTCTTGTTTTCTGCAGCAGAATCCCACACTCTGCCATTATTCTGGCACCTCTTTTAGGACTTTTGAAGGTCTCAGTTTCTGTATTTCTGTTGGCAATGTTATGGCTGATACAGTTGTGTGTATCCCAACTAAGACACTGCATTGCCTCATCCCTTCTGGCCCAGCCTTAAGCTGATTAGCAGCAAACTCTCATTAAATTTTGCTCCCCAAGTCTCATTGCCAACATCTACACCAGCTCCCCAAGAAATTTATTTAAAGTTCTCTTTTGGGTTTTCACTCAGTGTTGAATGGTGTCACCAGACCATGAAGCTGACAGAGATCTCAGTACCAATATCACTGAGGAACTGTTCCAGTTTGTACCATCAAACTCCCTCACGCTGTGTGTCTGCAAGGTTTAGTTATTTATGACTTTGCACTGAGAACTCTTAATTATTAATAGGTTGCTTTCTGGCATCCTTGTTCATACAGCCTGAAATACTTGATTGCCAAACTTCATTCCATGTACTGTTGCTACATAGCTTGATCAGGCCCAGGGTGAGTTTTTGCCATCTTGTTATGTTAAAACAAGAGAAGAATTAATCATACATTAAAAAAACCCCAAGTCTAGGCAATATGTACCTATAAAGTAATGATGATTTTGGGGTCCCACTCTGCTGTTTCTGCACACTGGGGAGGGGGAAGCTTAAGGCTTATTTGAGAAGAGGCAGAGTAAATCAACCTGCCAAAGAGTGAGAGGAGTCCTCCTCAGTCTGGCAACGCTGAAGTTGCAGCCCAGCTCTTGTATCGATAACGGCACATGACAGCGTCCCCCAGACTGGCTGGGAGACAAGAATTTCACCCTCTGTGAGGTCTCTGCTCTAACGCAACAGCTCTGAAAGCTCTGGCCCCTGAACCTGCAACGCGATGTGTTTCATTGCTGAATTATTTCATTTTCTTGTGCCTGCAGCAATTCCCTCCTCCGCAGCTTTCAGGTAGCGTGAAGCTCCTCAGCGCTGCCGCTCTCTCATCACGGAACGGGACCCGTCACGCCCCGATCCGAGCCACACCAAGCGTTCTCTGCCCATTTCGCTATCCGCCTCCCGGCTGCCCTGGGCAGGAAAGCTTCCCACTGATGTGCTGCCAAACGCGCAGTATCCCTCGCCTCGCTGCAGCCCCTGCCTGCCCCCTCTCTACTCTGTGTCCCCTCAGCCGCCTCACCCATAACCCAGCCTTCATTCCTGGGAACCTGCGGCAGGGGACAGCGGCCGCAGCCGCCCGCGGAAGGTGTGGAAGGCGCTCCCGAGCGATCCCCGTTCCCCCCGCGGAGACCTGACCATCCCCCGGCCGCCTCCCGGCAGCGGAGCGCACACCCACCTCGCAGGACGCCGCCATCTTGGCGCCGCCGCTGTCACATGACCCACCGGCAGGGAGGGGGCGTGGCCCGCCCGCACCACGTGACGTCGGCGCGGGAGGAGGGGGCGGGGCGAACGGTCACGTGAGCGCGGAGCGAAGATGGCGGCGGGCGGGCTGAGCGCGAGGTGCGGGGCTGCGGCCGCTCGGGCAGGAGGGAGCACAGGGGCGGCCCCGGTTCTCGCTGCGGGCGGGCCGCGCTCCGCGGGGCCGGGAGGGGAGAGGGGTCGGCGGGGCGGCGGCGTCGGGAGGGTTTAACCGCGGCGGGGCGCGCGCCGGGCTGGCCCCGCCCCCCCGCCCCGCGCGCGCGGCGAGACCCCACCCCCTTCTCCCCCCTCCTCGCTGAGGGACCCTCAGGGACCCCCCGGCCCCGACGGTCGGAGCGGGAGCGAATGTCGGGGGTTTTGCCTTTATTTTATTGTGTGCGAGGGGAGCGGCCGCGCAGGACGAGCTGGGAGCCGTTGCTTTGGCGGGGCCGGGGGGTTCCATCCCCGCTGCCGCCGCCGAGGTGCCCCCAGGCCCCGCAGCTGCTGCCCCGAGCGGGGGATCGCGGCATGGCCGGGCTGCGCCTCCCGCACCTCTTGCAAGCGTAAAGTCAAAGTAGACACGTGGGAAGCGTGTCAATGAATCACAGTTTCAGTGATCACCTCACATCGGTGCCTTCGTTTGTCCTCAGAACTCTCGTCGTTTATTTTTGTCATTTCTTGTAACGTTTTTATGCTCTGGAGTTTCCCTGGTGCCTAATTTTTTTTAAATGAATGCCTCTAAGCCCTAAAGGGGACAAGAACACCAGTGTTAGTTGTGGTTGCACACAGAGCTTTCCTCCTTTAGCTTCTAATTAATGAACGGGCAACAAACCACGGTCTGTTTATTCACAGACGAGGGAGTGAAAAATGGAAGGGTTGGCTCTGCTGGGCTGGGGCTCGGTTCTTACAGTGAACGACAAAAAACGTGCTCAGGACAACCAAAGGCACCAACCTAACATGATAACTGAACCTGGGGCTCGTTGAATTGCTTCCTTGACGTTGCTCTTCAGATGTTGGTGAAATTCTGGGCTTTTGGGTGCTCCAGCCTGGAGAGTCTGAACCCAGAGCTGGTGCTGACCATGTCAGGAGAGGCTCCTGGCAGGAAAATGGACCCAACTATGGAGGAATGAGCAGGGAGAAATTATGTTGATAAGTGTCCTGGAAGTAATAGCTGTTGCCATTCATCAAGTGGCACCACGTGTCAGAAGTCGCAGATGCCTTTCACTGCCACAGGGAGGTAGTTTGATGATGTTATTCTAAAAATAAGGCAATGAGTGCTCTTGCTTTCCAGACAGTCTGTGTGAGAAGTTGCGGTGTTTACCTCCTCATTTGTAATACATTGCTAACAAATAATTTGCCTAAATGAAATACTCTTTTTGGCAAACACCTTTTCTCTGGGCTGTTTTAGGGAGACTTACTTTTCTGGATGTATGTGCCAGGGTCAGGATGTGATCTGTAATTCCTTATAGTGCAAGTTGGCTTTTCTACAGAGTTCTCAGGAAGAAAGAAGAAGGTGAGGGTGAATGTTGTGGAGGCTGTGTAAAGATCTTGCAGTTTTTCACTTCACCCAGGTTTATGCTCTGCTTAGAGTGGAGAATGAAGCTGTGATGGAAGAGTTTATTTGGAGGAGAGCATTGAATGTAACTGAATAAAATATTGCTCTATACTTTCATTAAGTTTCTTCTTAATGACCTTCAAACGTCCAAGTAGCAAAATCAAATTGAAGTCGTAACCTGATATAAATGGGAAGCTTTGATATGAGTGCACAGTGTCAGTTGTCACCTTCTTTGGGTCTTTCCTCGGTTCTTCCAGGACGTCTGAAACTCCTCAGCTAAAAGCTGATGTTCCTTAAATAATGTTTCTTGTATTACGAGGTGATCTGCTCTGAGTTAATTGCAGCTTTGAAAAGGCATGAACTAAATGGAAGCCTGAAATAATGGTCATAATTAAAACACTTTGCACCTTTTCCCATTGTTTGCAGGAGCAGCAGAGAATTATGGACAATTCTGCTGGGAAGATCAGCTTTAAGAGAACCAGTAAGTCCATGTCCTGCTGAGCAGCTTTGGCCATCACTGAAACAGCTCCATGGCCAAATACATCATTTGTACATCTTGTTGAATATTAGTGAAAATATTCACTGTTTTGCTGTTTTCCCCTCTTCCTCAGTGTGTTTTTTGTTCCTCTGTCTCTGTTACTTTTTCATTCTTCCACTGCTTGTTTACAGCTGCTGCATGAACTGCCTGGAAGGGTGTATGGAAAAGGTGGTTCCTTTTCTGGAGTGGGCACAAGTGCTGCTTCCTAGACTGGCTGGCCTGGGGTGTTGATGAGTGGTGCAGCCTGCTGCCTTATTTTAAGGGATGGAACCTGTGCTTCCAAGAATTTGCCCAGAGGTTGGAAATCCAAATGTTTCTGAACCCAGTCCATTGCCTCCTATTTCCTTGCCCTTCCTGGGATTAGCAAGGCAGGTCTCTGCCTCACTTTCCTGGAATCAGTCTTAGTCACAGACACCTGTCTTTTGTTGTTCCTGTCTCTGTGGTGGTGGAATTTCCTTGCTTTCTATAAATTTAACAAATCTGGTACTTGGTAGTGCACTTTGAGGAGTCTGTTCAGTGGTATTTGTTTCTTTTTTAGGCCCAGATTGCTGCAGAGTTGAACAAGCACTGGCAGAGGCTGTTAGAAGGACTGTCATACTATAAACCACCAAGGTACAGTCACTGCCTGATTTTAGAAATGAACCTCTAATGTGAGGTTTCCCAGTAAATAGAGGATCATGTTGAATATTTATCTCTGATTACATAAAAATAGATTTTTGCTCTCTTGCGTGACAAGACTTCAGGAGAGGAGCAAGAGAAAGTACTTAATCCACATAACATTTTTGGATGTGAAATAAAGACCAGAAAGAAGTAACAGCATTTTCTGCTGTCACTGCTGTCAGGTGGCTGTTAACCCCTGCCTTTGTGAGCTGCAGCACTCATGCAGCCTGTGGAGAAGTGACTCCTCTTGACACTCAGTCATCCCAGAAAGACATCCAGATTCCCTCATTGAAAGAGGTGGAATGAGTATAATGTGCATTATTACGGTGATAAAATTGTGAACAATGTTGAGATCTATCTGGTGGGAAGGTTGCTGAATATTGTTGTACAAAATATTGAAAGGCCATTGAGGAAAAAGCAAGTGTTCAATTTAAACTGATAAAACCGAGGACTTTGAAATTACACCTGTTTAGTTCAGTCCTTGGGATTGCTGCATTTTTAGTAACTAAAATTTCTTTTCTCTTTAGTACGACTTCAGCAGAAAAAGTTAAAGCTGATAAAGATGTAGCTGCTCCACTAAAAGAGTTGGGTCTGAGGGTCAGCAAGTTTTTGGTGAGTGAAGCTACCATCTGGTTATTTTTTATCCCTGGAATGAATTGTTACTGGGATTCTTATATATAAGTAATCTTCTTGATGTTGAGTAGAGGCAAATTTAAGGTCCTTTCAATTCAATGTAATCTAAAGGATGTTAGAATTACATGTTGAAGCTGTAGGTCAAACTTTTCCAGAGTGAGAAGTGACCTTGAGGTGCTGTGGTTTTCCTGGTCCTGCTGCACAGGGCTCTGCTTTTCAGCAGCAGCACCTGCTATTGTCTGTCTTGGGTTTTCCAGGACAACTGCTCGACTAAAAACTCATGTCCTTTGAATCAGTTGCCTTGTTTGACAACCCTCTCAATTTACCTGCAAAGTTCTGTTTCTTTAAGCCACAGGTTTAGAGTTCAGTGACTGGTGGTACCTTTGTTTAAATGACTCAGATGCTCCTTAAGTTGAATTTAAACTCCTGCAGCTCAATGACATCAAAGCTTGTGTGTTTGGTTTTAAACAGAAGTGCTGATTAAAGCATCTGCCTGGTGCAAAAGTGTTCCTTTGTCATATTTTGGAAATCATTTATTTTGAAGATAAGAACTGCCTGAGTATTTGGAGAGGATCTTACTCTTTATTGAATTCAATTGCCTTTTATTAATTTCAGAGCATTTCTCTTTCTTTTGTTTAGGGTCTGGATGAAGAGCAGAGTGTGCAGCTGTTACAGTCGTATCTTCAAGAGGATTACAGAGGAACAAGGGACTCCCTGAAGGTCCATAGCTCCCATTAATGTTCTGTTTACTCCACATCTTTCTATAATACCAATAGTTTGTTGTTGCACATGGGCACACGTGAGTCTGAGTTCTGATTTGGAAATGGCTTTGTAGATTTTATTCTCTGAACCTACAATGCTCCAGTGCTGCTTTAAGGAAATGTGAGAGCAGATATCCAGGCTTATCTCTTCCTGCTTGAATCTCTGCAGGAACTCAGCTCCTCTCTCTATCACAGGAATACAAGAAAGCTACAGATTTGTGAATGAGAGTGGAGATGAAAAATAAATATGTAGTTAAAAATTAGTGTTTTGTCTTTGTGCTTTCAGAATCTCTTTCCAAAAGAAATGGAAAGAAAAATTGCCTTTTTTTCGTTTCAGTCTTTTTTGTGCATGTGTGTTTTGTCAGTAGATCTGTCTACAAATCTTTATTTTGTTGTGTTTTGTTTACAGACAGTTCTTCAGGATGAAAGGCAGAGTCAGGCTCTAATGCTGAAGGTTAGTCATTTCCATTTGTTTTTTCTGTGGAAAAGATCTGTTGGCAGAGAACTCACTTTATTTCTATGGAAAATCTTAAAATAATTGAAGCATTCCTTCATGTCATGAACAAATTTTAAAAGGTGCTTTTAAAATTGATAGATGTGCATGTAGATTTGAACAGTGTTAATGCTAGAGGAATGAAATTTTAGACTATGTGAGGGAATTTAGCAGGATTGATGTACACTCCCTTGTTTTCCAAAGCTTGTATTTTTGTATGTTACTGTCTGAAGTGACAACTCTGAAAGGAAGGATGATGATAATTTTTGACAGAGATTTGTAGGGGTGTCTTTTTTCTTTTCTTTTCCAAGTTTTCTCACTTAACAGTGTAATTATAGACCTGTCCTTGTGGCCATGATTTATTGCGTTCCGTAAAGTTAATTAAGTGTTGTTTTTTTCCCAATAACTT